CCAACTAAAGCAAATTGGTACATTAGGGGCAGAGGATCAATGACAAGTGAAAAGATGAATGAAAAAGATGATCGATTGACTGTGATTTATTTTTCACACTACGTCCCCACCTGTGGCCAAAAATGTGTCTATGGAGAAGTGATGGTCCGTGTTGCTGTTCTGACTTATCAATTCCGGAGACATTCAGACAAACCCAGCTTCAATATTATCACCATATTCTGTGAAATTCCCTCATCTCCTTCCTACTGTCCCATAAACATTCGCACAGCTGATCGTGCGGTGTCCAGGCGTGCTCAGCTCCACTCAATACAAAGCCCTATACACACCACAATGTAATTTTGTTATGTACCAATTTACGTCTCTCACATCTCCTTTGTCTTTATCTGTACCTCATAAACAATCAATCACCAGCTAATAGAGTGGTTTTCCCGGAAATACTCAACCAATAAATAACAGGAGCTATCCCTAATCACTTAGCCAACGTCCTTAGAAATTTCCCTCATTCACTTTGCTCTTACTGTTCAAAAACAAAATACCATAAGACTACAGATGAATATTGTGGTTTCTATGAAGTATCCAGGAGATACTTCTACCACAGAGGTCATCAACCCGTAGCTCGGGAGCCCAAGTAGCTCGACACCCTTTCCAGGTAGACTCCCCGTTCATGAGGATTCCCAGCAAATATCTACACTTTAGCTCGTCTCTGCCTTAATCGTCCCGGGAAAGTAGCATCTCTAGATGAAAAGGTTGACACGTAGAAATACCTTGGCCATTACATTTTTTCGGTGCTATACACTTAGCAGCTCAAGTTGGCAATGAGCTGTATTAACAATTGCACAAAGACATTCTTGAAGACAGGGTCCAATCCCGCTCTGGATTGTTGAATGTATCTTGATTGAGATGCAAGGATTGACACCTGGACTGTGGCTCAGCGGGTTCTGGGTATGATTTGAAACGCTACGTGTCGTAGTTGGAGTGCCGAGATTGCATGCGCTACATGCCACGTCCAGAGAAGGGGCACAGAGCAGGATTGTTACCTACTGATGGCAATAATAGATGCACAGATTGGCAGTGGCAAAAAGCCAATTGAGAGTGAATTTAGTGTGGGATAGAAATGTTTGAATTCCGGCCGGCCCCCTGTGTTCACATATTTTTCCTATTTTTTTCAGTGATAAAATGACAGGAAGTTGGAGTGAATGTCCCATCTAATCATCAGGGAGTCAAAAACCGCATTAAATTTTTGGAACCTTTTGTATTATAACTGTTTTTCTTTAGCAACAACAACCCACAATACACAAAGAACAATTATAAGTGAGTTAATATATCTCAGCGATTTTCCGACAACATTTCACCCAAGCAATTACAATGCTTTGGGTGACAACAAGCAGAAACCAAACAACACCCACAATAAAACAAAAAACACCACGTATTCAATCCAAAAAGACAGACAACGAAGACCAACAAATTTGATCCAACAAGTGTGTAATTTTGTTAATAATACTATAATACTAGCAACCACAAATGCTAATAAAAATTATATACAAATAATGCTAATTCATCATACAAATACTGGTTCTAATAATCCTCTACTACTAATTTTTTATAATACTGATGATGCTTATGTGATCTAAAACATAGAAAATAGAAATAAGCTAAAATAAAATAAAACAAGTTATTACAAAGCACATCTATTTGGCCAAAAACCCCTATCAAACGATTACGGTCAGGTTACAGACAATTTATCAAACAGTTAATTGTTCCCAAATCCCTATCCTGTCTTTTTTTTTATACCTAAACATCTGGCTGTGGAAATTGGTCTCATGGTGCAGTATGACTGACAACTCACACCATCCCCCCTGGTTAGCGTTTACCGAGGCGGTGGCCCTGAGTTTACCAAGGTCGAATGATCCTGGCGATTAATTGACACGAAAACTGTAAAAACCTCATGATCCGGGTTATTCTTTTCCGGATCGGAGGCCAGTGGGCCACACACGTCCAAATAATTCCATAGTACTATGACGATTTGCATACAACACACCAGTGTGTCTCAGGATTCGCCAACAGCAGACCCGGAAATGCAACCTAAACCCAATACGAAACATTGGTTCTCCGGCGCGGACTAAGTAGTAGACCTGGTCACTGCGATGTCGCTGCTCCTCTGAGCTGCTGACGCTCCGGACTTTGAGGCTGAATTTAACCAATTAGATCCCTCAGCGTTATTGCCCATCTAAAACACTTTGCCAGGATTCCTCAAAAACATACGTGTTCTAAAGCTTACATGGAGAATTATTCTCTGCTTTGCTTTCAGTAGGTAACGGGATAGATAAATAACTTAATAAATATCCGGCACACATCATTTTTACACTGAAAGAAATCTTGCGGCACACCTCAGGCGACACTTTAAAAACAGTCACCAGTAAACAGACACCAACCACCTATCAAAGAACCCAACTTGTTGTGTTATACTATAAAGTATATTATCTTATCCTATACACATGTTCCCAGTATCTTGTATCTATCTTCACCTTATACAGATATTGTCAACAAAGTACCGTCAAGGCTCTGCCTTTAGCCTATATATTAAATTTCTCGATACAATTAACAGCGTTTGGGCTAAAGTGTGCACACCTGATGGAACAACATAAGAAACTCATCTTAACCTAATAGACAAATAATACTAACCAAATAACCTGCATTTTACTTTCCTGGGGGCAAACATTTCTGTATCAGGCTTTAAATCAGGAGTTTGGTGAGGGACAGGCTGCTGGTCCTTAAACGCTGAGTCCCTGGTTCTGTCTGTCCTCAAGTCTGTGGTTTGTCCATCGACTCCGGTCTGCGCTCGGTACCGTCTACAGGACGATGCGTACGCGAGAGCTGTAGTCCAAAAAATTGTACTAATACTAAGTTACAACCTACAACGCGTGCAGCTGCCGGGGCAGTGCGTGAGGATGTTACTCTGTTCCGACACGGAAAATTCATTTCAAAAACCGTCTTCTCACTATCACTTCTCACTCGCCCAAAAGTTTTGTATCGCTCCCTCCCCAATTTGTTGTGTCGCATACCCTTTTACCTTTACTCGACAATGCTGACCTGTTACATCTCAGAGGTCGCTCAAGTATATTCCTTTTCAAAGACTTAGCAAAATCTGCATTATCCATCTACTGATTTGAGAAACGTTATTAATGGTTTTTTGGTTTTACTAACAGTTCACAAATCAAAGTCACGTCGTCACTCGACTGAGTATATATTAAGACAAAGTAGACGAAAGTCTCACGGCCACCAGACACTATCATCGGTCAATGTAGTTTCGGTGTCACCGTGTGTTTAAACAAACACCGGGTTTCGACAACTGCATGTTGCATCACATTGGTCAGTCCAACCGGCTGTCAAAACTGTTAAAACAACCCTGCAGTCCCTACAAACTCGCATATGGAACGACTGAACAGTAATACCGTACAACTAATATTACTCACTGTACACATCATTAACAGTTTTGTTGAGCATCCTAATAACAAGCATCATCATGCGTAAATACTACTCCTTTCCAGCCACCACTATCTATTTAATATCGTCCCCTCATCACCAGCCCGGTGATTGAGGAGCACAGGGACGGACTTGTTTAGTGCCCGCTGTACGCGCCCTACACTGGTGGAGCTTTATCTATATGATCTCCAAAGGACACCAGTCTTCTGACGATGTGAGACTAGGCCTCTCTTGACACTGTTTTACAACCAAGGTATCTTTTATTTATCCTTCCTCCGTTGTTGTTGATTAGAGGTGAACTGGTATTAAAACCTTGATCACGAGAGGTGCCTGTCACACTCTTCAGTAAGTATTATCCAGCTTTAAGCAGCATGTAATCTGAAACGCAGCCACCCTGTATCTTAAATCTGTGATACCTGGATACCCTACCCCTATTTGCCTCCTAGTCGGTGCTGTTCTATGTACCTTCAAAGTCACTAAATTCATATAGTGCGATTCAAGGAGAAATTGTACAAGCAGAGTTGTTCAAATAATAATTTGGCGCACAGGAATCCAGTGCAGTGACCTGAGGGACCGGATCATTGGTCGTACTTCTGGTTCTATTCGGACTCAATGTTTGCTGAATTTTTGAACTGTACTGCAGCTGTTTTACGCTTTTTGGCCGACTGTGCGGCAGGCCATTGCCAGTAGTCTCACAGTGTTTTTCAACCACAGTAGCGCTGACACTAGAGAGCCGTATTAAAATGATTTATCCGTGCGTAAATTCTGTATAACTTTGACTAACACTGTGCAATATCTGTTGCGCTGATAGCACAGATTTGAAAGTTCTCCCCCAGTCCTCCTTTTTCAACCCATAATCAGTCTCCTCACTAACTAACATTTATCCCTGCACCCACTTTGCCAGCTACAATGATACCTTACATCAAAAAAATTTCCCTTACACCAATATTCATACCCCCATAATTCTATTCCTCCCCCTATAATATTCCTCTATTCCAATATCCATATTCACTTCTAAAAAATCCCCATCCAACATTAAAATCCCTTCAACCCCAACCACTAATTTTTCTCTTCCTAAATTTTAAATACTAATTAAACCACATCCATACCCAAATATACCCACTAAATTCCTCCAAATCCAATTAAACCCTCTTCCCCACTATCATTCATCCCCCCCACCATTTTACCTCCCATCAAAAACATTCATAATCCCACCCACCAATCCAACCTATTCACACACCATAAACCATCCCCCCATCCCAAAACCATATTATCAAAAAAAAATCAAAATTTTCTATCTCTATTCACATAACTAAAAACAAACCCAAACTATCAAACCACCCCCCAAATAACCAATACATATCACAACCAACCTAACCACACCTTTTCCACTCAAATCATAATCCACCATAACACAACATCAACCTACTCACAAACATCCACACCTCACCTACCCCTCAACACCCAACACCCTAACACACCCACCCACAACCCTACCTCACCAACACCAAAACAAATCACACCCCCAACCCACCACACACCCACCCACACAAAACCAACCCAACCCAACCCCACCTCACCCACCACCAACCCAACCCTCCACCCCCCAACCACAACCCCACAACAACCCCCCACAAACCACCCATTCCCAACAAACCCCACCACACCCTACCATCACAACACAAAACCCCAACACAACACACCACCCCCAACACCACCCTAACCCTCCCTCCCCACCAACCACCCCCCACCCCACACACACCACCCCACACAACCCCATCAAACCCCCAACCCACCCATACCACCCCACCCACCCCCCAACCCCCCCCCCTCCCAACCCAACACCCAAACTCACCACACCCACTACCACACAACCACCCACCACCCCCCCACAACAACCCCCACAAAACCACACAACCCCACCAAACCAACCACTCCCCACCACCCAAACCCCCCCCTCCTAACCCAACCCCCACCATCACAACCACACCACCCCAAACCACCCCACACCCACCCACCCAACCCCCCCCAACCCCACCCCACCCAACCACCACAACCACCACACCCACATCCACACACACACCCCACCCCACAACACAACCCCCAAACACACCCCATACCACAACAACACCACACACAACACACCCCAACCCCACCAACCCAACCCCAACCAAACACACCAACACCAACAACCCCCACAACCCACAACCACCCACCCACCACCCACACCCACCAACACAACCCCCACACCAACCACCCACCCAACCCCACCCCACAACCACCACACCACCCACAAACCCAAACACCCCCCACCACCACCCCCCCAACCAAACACACAACCCACCCCACCCCCCACCACCACAACACACCCCCACCACAACACCAACCCAACACCCACCCCACACCACCCCACCACAACCCAACCCACACACACCAACCCAACCCACACCCCAACACCCACCCCCCAACCCCCCACCACCACAACCCACACCCCCACCACCACACCCAACCCCAACCCACACCACAAAACACCCCAACCACCACACCAAAACCCCCCACCAACACCCCCACAACACCACAACCACCCCAACCCCCCACCAACACACCAAACCCACCAACACCACAACCAACACCCCACCAAAACCAAAAACACCACCACCCCACACACACCCACAACCACAACACACCCACCCCCACCCACCCCCACACCACCCCCACACAACCCAACCAACCAACACCAAAACACCCCCACCCACACACCCACAACCCAACACCCCCCACCCCCCACACCAACACCCCAAAACCCAACACACACCCCCACACCACCACCCCACCCACCCCCACACCACAACCACCCCCCCCCACACACAACCCACCACACCCCCACCACACCACCCCCCCCCACAACACCAACACACCCACCCAACCCACAACACCCCCCCACACCCCCCACACCCACCACAACCACCCACCCCACAACAACCCCACACCCCCCCACCCCAACCACACCAAACACCCACAACACCCAACAACCCCAACCAACCCACACCCCACCAACCCACCACAACCAACACCCCCCACCCCAACCAACCCCACACCCACCACCACACCCCCACCCACAACCAACCCCACACCCCCCCACCAAACCACAAACCCCACCACACCCCACCCACACCCCCCCCCCACAACCACCAAACCACCCCAACACAACCCAACACCCACCACACACCACAACAACACCCCCACCCCCACACCAACCCCACAACCACCCAACACCCACCCCCACCCCCCACACCACCCCACCACCACCCCCACACCCCACCCCCCCACCCCACACACCCAAACCCCCACCACACACCAACAACCCCACACAACCACCCCAACACCACACCCACCACACCACCCCCACAACCACACCCACCAACACCACCCACCAACCCCACCCCACACCCCAACACCCAAACCCACACCACAACCCAACACCCCCCCCAAAACCACACCCACCACCACCCCCACCCACACACCCACCACACCAACCCCACCCACCCCCCAACCACCCCCACCAACACCACCACCCACCCACCACCAACCCCCACACACACCCCAACAACAACCACAACACACCCCACCACCAACACCCCCACACCAACCACACCCCACCACCAACCCAACCCCACACCCCACCCCACCACCCCCACCACCCCACAACACACCACACACCCACCAACACCAACCCCACAAACCAAACCCCACACCACACACCCACACACCAACACCCACCCAACACCACCACCCCACCCACAACCCACCACCACACCCACCACACACCCACCAAAACCCACCACCACACACCAACAACCACCACCACCACCAACACCACACCCCCACAAACCACCCCCACCCCCCACACCAAACCACACAACACCCAACACCCACAACCACCCCCACCACCACCACAACCACCCCACCACAACACCCAAACACCCCACCCCACCACCAACACAAACCCACAACCACCAACACACACCCACCAACCACCCACCACACACCACCCAACACCCCACCACACCCACACCCCACAACACAACCAACACCCACCACACCCACCACCACAACACACCCAACCCACAACACCCCACCCCAACCACCCACACCACCCACACCAACAACCACCAAACACCACCCACCCAACACCCCCCAACAACCACACCCCCACCCAACACACCACCCACCCACCACCCAACACACCCCACCCACCAAACACCCAACACCAACCCCAACACCCACCCACAACCACACCAACTAACCACCCACACAACACTAAAACACACCCCACCCCCACCACATACCACAACCCCCACACACCCACCACCAACCAACACCCCACCCACCCCCACCAACACCAACCACCCAACAACACACCAACCACCACAACCCACAAACACCACACCACAACACCACCTCACACACAACAACACCAACACCACACCCCCACCAACACACCAAACAACCCACCCACAACACCCACCCCACCCCCCACACACACCCCCACCCCACCACACCACCCACACCCCCACCAACCCCAACCACACCACCCACAAAAACCAACAACCCCACCCACCACACCAACACCCCAACCAACCCCCACCACACCACCCCAACCCAACCCCCACCAACACCCAACCACACCACCCAACCCACACCCAAACACCCCCACACACCACACAACCCACCCCACACAACACAACCCACAACACCACACCCCACCAACCCACCACCCACACACCCACACCCACCACCCACCCACACACCCCCAACACCACACCACACCCACACCCACAACCACCCCACACACCCCCACACACCACAACCCCCCACCCAAACCCAACACCCACAACCACCAACACACCCCCACCACCCAACACCCCAACCCACACCCACCACCCCACCCCAACACCACCCACACCCCAACCCACACCCCAACCACACCCCACACCCCACACCAACACCCCACCCAACACCAACCCCACCCACCCCCCCACCCACACACACCACACACCCACCCCCCCCACACCCACACCCCACAACACCACCCCACCCCCAACCACCACCCCCCCCAACACCACCCCACCACCCCACCCCAACCCACCAAAACAACACAAACCCCCAACCCACCCAACACCAACCACCCACACCCCCACCCACCAACCACCCCCACCCCACACACCCCCCCACCCCCCCCACCCAACCACCACCCACACCACCCCACACACCCCACCCCCACCAACACCACCACCCCCACCCACCCCACCACCCACACAACCCACCCCCACCCCACCACCCCCAACCCACACACCCACCAACACCCCACAACCCCCACCCAACACACCCACCAACACAACACCAACCACCACCACCACCCCCCCCAACCACACCCCCCACCCAACCACCAACAAACCCCCAACCACACCCACCACCAACCACCCCCAACACCCACCACCCCCCCACCCCCCCCCACACCAACACCCCCCCCACCACCCCCACCCCCCCCCACCCACCCCCACACCCACCCCCACCCCACACCCCACACACCCCCACAACCCACCCCAACCACACCCCCACCCCACCCAACCCCACAACCACCCCCCCACACCCACCCACCCCAACCCACACCCACAAACCACCCCCACCACCACAACCACACCACCCCAAACCACCCCACCCAACCCCACACCAACACCCCAACAACACCACCAACAACACCAACCCCCAACACAACCCCCAACACCCACAACCCAACACCAAACACACCAACCCAACCCCCCACCCACCCCAACCCAACACCCCACCCCACCCACACCCCAACCCCCACACCCCCCCAACCACACCCAACCCCCACCACCCCACACATAACCCACCCCACAAAAACCCACCACACACAACCCCACCACAACCACCCACACCACACCCAAACACAAACCAAAAACACCACCCAACCCCCACCACCCCCACACACCAACCCACACCACCCCACCCCCCCCACCAACCACCCCCACAACCCCCAACACCACACACCAACCACAAACCACACCCCCACCACAACCCCCACCAACCCACCACAACCCACCCACCACACCCCCCCAACCCCACCACCCCCCCCAACACCCCAACCCAAACCCACCCCAACAACACCCCACACACACCACACAACCACCCCACCCAACCCCACAACCCAACCCCCACCAACCCCCAACAACACCACCCCCCCACCCAACACCCACAACACCACACCACCCCCACCCCAACCACCCACCCCACCCACACAACCCCACCCACACCACCAACAACACCCCACACACCCCACACCACAACCAAACCCCACCAACCAACCCCCACCCACACCCAACCCACACCAACCCACACACCAAACACCCACAACCACACCACCACCCACAAACACCCACACACCACAACACCCCCACACCAAACACACCCAAAACACCACACCCACCCAACCCACACCCCCCACACCCCCACAACACCACACCACACCCACACAACCCCACCACACCCACACACCACCCACAACCCCAACCCCCCACCAAACCAAACACCACACCCAAACACCCCCAACCCACACCCACCAAACCACCCCACACCCCCACCACACCCCACACCACCCCACAACCACCCCAAACAACACCAACAACCACCACCCCAAACCCACCCAACAACCCACAACACCAACAAACAACCACACCACAACACCCCCACACCACACCCCAACCACCAACACACACCCCACAACCCCACCCACACCCCACCACACCCAACCAACCCCCACCAACCCACAACCACCCAACACCCCAACCACCAAAACAACCACCAACACACCCACCACCCAACAACCCACAACCCACCACAACCCCCCCACCACCCCACCCAACCCACCCACCCCAACCCAACAAACCACCACACCCCCCCACCACCCACCACCCACCCCAACACCCCCACACACCCACCCAAAACACCACCAACACCCAAACCCCCAACACCACCACCCCACCCACCCCCACCCACAACACACCCCCACACAACCCAACCCCCACACACCACACCCACAACAACCACCCCCCCCACAACCACCCAACACACACCCCACCCACACCCCACACAACCCAACCCCCCACCCAACCCACCACCCAACCCCAACCCCAACCACAACAACACCCACCAACACACCCACAACCACCCCAACACACACCCCCACCCCACACCCCAACCACCAACACCACCCCACCACACAACCCCCCACACACCCCACCCACCCACCCCACAACACCCACACCCCACAACACCCACCCAACAACCAACAACACAACCAACCACACCAACACCCACAACAACACCCACCACACACCACACCCACACCCCCCCACACCCAACCAACCCCCACAACACCCCCACCCACCCCCCCCCACCCACAACCCCCAACCCCACACCCAACCCACAACACCCCACCAACCACCCACACCCACCCCACACACCCCAAACCACCCACCAACCCAACCACAACCCACCCAAACACACCCCACCAACCCCACCACCCCACACCCAAACAACACCCAACAAACACACCCCCACCCACCACAACCCACACCACCCCACAAACCCCACCACCCCCACCAACACCCACCAACACCAAACAACAAACCAACCCACAACCCACAACCCAACACAACACACACCACACCAAACCCCACACACAACAAACCCACACCACCACAAAAACCAACCCCACAACACAAACACACAACCAAACACCCCACCCCCACCCCAACCAACCCCCAAAACACACAAACCACCACACCCAACCCACCCACCAACCCAACCACCACACAACCCAACCACCCCACACCAACCCCACCCACCCAACCCCCAACCACCACCAAACAACAACAAACCAAAACCACACAACCACCCAATACACCCCCACCACACCAAACCACACAAACCAACAACCACAACCACCACCCAAAACCACACCACACCCAACAACCCCAAACCCAACCACCACAAACACAAAACAACACACCCCCAACCCAACACAACACCACACTCCACAACAAACACCCCCCATCAAACATCAACCAAAAACAAAAACCACCAAACCCATACTAACCTCCCCCTCCCAACCCTATTTACCTCCTAACCCCATAAAATAACCCTAATCCCTCCACCATCCTACATCCCCTCTCTATATTCATCCACCCTCCATCCCCCTACCATCATACCCTACATCTCACATTCCACCCAAATACATCCCTCACTCCACAACTTATCATCTAATCATAACTCTCACTAACTACTTACTAACTCTCCATCTCTCAATCCACAACACCCACCCTATAGCTAATTAATACCCATCAACATTAACCCCCCCCGCACCCCATATCCCCTCTAATCCATCACCACCCCCCCACAACCCCCTTTCCAATCCTCCCACCAATACCCACCACACCTAACAACATAACCACCCCCACTCAATCCAACACCTCCCCCCCCACATCCCCACCTACTACCCCTATCCCACACATATATCAACCCATACAATACTACCCCCCCTATACTCTCACCTAACATTTCCCCCTCTCCTCACACCACAACCTCCCCCCCCCCCCCATACTCCACCATCCCCACCACCAATACACCCAAACCCCACACCACCCATATCTCTACACTACCCCACTACCCACCCACCCCTCACAACCATTAAATCACCTTCCCACCCTTACCACTCTCACTTCTCTTCCACTCTCCTCTCCTCCTCATCTCTCTTCATCACCCTTCTCACTCTCTCCTCTCTTCTCTTCTCTCCATCCTCTTCTCATCTCTCTATCTCTCTCACCTCTCTCACCCTACTCTCTATCACTCTTTCTTTTCTCATTCTCTCTACCCCTTTCCTCCACCTCTCTCCTCTCTCACTATTCAAACATTCCCAACCTACATTGAACCCTTCTGTCTATCGATTCTATCTTAATCTACATTAATTACAACTTAATCCAAACCTCCCTACCCTTTTCATTCTCTTCTTCAAATACTAATAATTTTATTTTATTACCCTTAATCTACTCTTACTTACTAACTAACTTCATTTATCCCCCCTTCATACCTACCATAAAATTAACAACTCCAATCCTTTTCCTCTTCCAATAAATTACCACTCAAATCCCTATATTCTACACTTAATAATCTTAAAACCCACCCTATCAATACTTCACCCAACCATACCCACTCACACTCACAAATAACCATCCTTACCCACTCACATAAAAGCACCACATCCCAACTAGCGAATCCACCAATTACAAACCCCCCATCTATCTACCCACCTAAACTACCACCCTACATAATAACAAATACCACTCTATCCACTCCCAACAAACTCAAACCCCTATCTCACTATTCCTTCTAAAATACCCATCACCATAATCTACTCATCTCTTACCTCACTTCCTCTACTCTTCTCCTACTTCCTCATCTCAACACTCCCTCTACTTTCTCCCCCTCTCTCTATCTACTCATACACCCTCACACCTCTCTCTCACCTATCTCTCCACTTCCCCCTCTCATCTCACCCTCCCTCCACCTCATCACTATCTATCACACATCTCACAAACCCTCCCTCAATCTTAAACTACTATCCCTCTCCACAAATCAAAATATATACCAATATTTCCCTCATACCCACTCCCACCCTCACATCTTCTCCCTCCTCTCATATCTAATCCCTCTATATCACCTCCTCTTCCCTCTTATTTCATCCTACCCCCTAATCCTATACCCTCTCTTCCTCTCTCTCTCCTCCTCAATCTTCCCCTCTCACTTTTCAACTCTCTTCCCTCACTCTCTTCCTCACTTCCTCCCACTCCCTCCTCTCTCTCCCCCCGCTCACCCCAACTCACCCCCCCCAATCCCTCTACTCAAATCTCTCTCCTCTATCTTCTCCTACACACTCTCTACTTCATCACTCTCCACTCTCACAACAAACTCTACACCCTAAACACAACTCTCTCAACCTCTAAACTCTCCCCTCTTCACCCATCTCTCTCCAACACTCTCCTTCTCTCTCTCATCTCTCTCCCCCCTCTCACTTCACCATCTCTCTCCTCTTCTCTCTCCTCTTTATCCTCTCTCTCCCTATCTTCCCTCTCTACTCCCTTTCTATCTCCTTCACTCTCTTACTCTCCATCTCTCTACACTCTCCTCTCCTCTCTCTCTCCCCTATCTCTCCCACTATCCCCATCATACCCTTCTCTCTCCCTTCTCTCCCCTCTCTCTCCTATCTCTCGTCACGCCCAAGCGAGTTCACACACAATTACGCATCAAACCTCACTCTCAACCAACCCTCAACAAAAGCAATCCAAATCTCTCCCTCATCTCTCTCTCCTATCCCCCTTCTCTCCTTTACATCCCTCCATCACTTCTACCATCTACTAATACATCTCCCTCCATCTCTACCCCATATCCTATTTATCATCTCTACCGCCCATATCTCCCTTCATCTAACTGCCCCTTCTCTCATTCATAACCCCTCTCATAACACTCTCTCAAATCTCTAACCCGCGGTGAAAGTCCTCCATCGCCCATTCTTCATATGTACAATCTACTACCTGCCAATAACTTACTATAACTTCTCCTCTCCCTCATTCCCTCTCTCTTCCATCTCTCTCATCCTCTCCTCCACTCTCTCCTTCTATCTCCACTCTCCTCTTCCCTTCTCTCATCTCTCCCCTCTCTCTTCCCCTCTTCTCTCTCCATCTCTCTTCTATTCTTCTATCTCTCCTCTTCTTCCCCTCTCTCTCCTCTCTCTCCTCCATTATATTAATTCTCTTCTCTACTTCTTCTCTTCCTCTCTCTCTCTCCCTATATCTTCATTCTTCATTCACTCTCTCTTACTACAATCTTCTCTTCTCTCCACTTATCTCTCATCCCTTTCTCAAACCACTCCTTCTCTTTTTTTCTCTTTCATATATCCCATATTTTTTTCTTCTCTTTTTTTATTTCTACCATCTTCAAATCTAATAACCACACCCTCCCCCTCTTCTCCTTCTCTCTCTCTCCACTCCCTCTCCATCTTTTCTCCCTCTCCTCTCTTCTACTTCTCATCTCTCTTCTCTCTCTCACTCCTCTCCCCCTCCCCTCCCTCTCCTCTCTCACCTCCTTCACTCTTTCTCTCTCTCTCACTCTCTCTTCTTCTCTCTCACTCTCTTCTCTCCCCCTCTCTCTCCATCTCTCCACCTCTCTCTCTCCTCACCTCTCTCTCTCCTCTCTCTCTACTTTCTCTCTCTCTCCTCTATTCTCCTCCTCACTCTCTCCTCTCCTCTCCTCTCCCCCATCTCTCTCTCTCTCACAAAAATAAATCAACCAAACCCTAAAAACTTCTATTTTTTTTTACCAAACTCTAATCACAAACAAACTAACCCCCCTTCTTCTCATTTCTCATAATACCTTCAACTCATATACAACACCAAACCAATTTTCCAAAACCTAACACATTACAACTATCACAAAATCCCATATACAACTCCACTCCTCCAAATCCAATCTCTTTATCAAACAACACAAAAATAAAACTATTTCAAAACTTACCTAAATCTAAACAATATTAAACAAAATAAAAACACATACTCTCATCATCCTACCCATTCTCATCCTTTTCTCCCCCCCCCCTAAACAACCCACACCCCTAACTCCCTATATTTATCCATCATTCACTATTCACCTTCATTCCTTTCTACATTCCTTCTCTATATACTCAATATAAATATCTCTAACACCTTTTATATAACCCCTCCCTCTTCCTTCTTTTTATCATATCATTCTCTCTCTCTTCTATATATACTCATCTCCCATAAATATATATCATCCTCTCCTCCATATATATATATAATTACATTCTCTCTCCATACATACTCTCTCTATATATATATATACATCTCTCTCTCTTCATATATATTATTCTCTCTCTCTCTTTCATATATATTATCTCTACTCTCTCTTTCCATATATTATATATATATCTCTCTCTCTTTCATATATATATATATATATATATATCTCTTCTCTCTCTTCCATATATATATATATCTTCTCTTCATATTTATATATATATATATATATATATATATTATCTCTTCTCTCTCTCATATCTATATATATATATATATATATATATATTTCTCTCTCTCCTTATATATATATTCTCTCTCTCATAAATATATATCTCTCTCTCTATATATATATATATATTATATATCTCTCTTCTTCTATATCTATATAATCTCTCTCTCTCCAATAATTATATATATATAATATTATCTCTCTCTATCTATATAATATCTCCCTCTCTTATATATATATATATCCTCTCTTATATATTATATATATATATATCTCTCTTCTCTCTATATATATATATCTCTCTCTCCTATATATATATCTCTTCTTTCTCATATAAAATATCTCTCTCTCATATATATATAATCTCTCTTTTATATATATATCTCTCTCTCTACTCCTCCATATATATATATCTCTCTCTTTACTATATACATATATACATCTTCTCTCTCTCACTATAATCTCTACACCACACCCCCTCATATAAATACCCCCCCATCCTTCAATATACAAACAAAAATCCCATACAAACAATCAATACCTCAATATATCAATAATATAATAAAACCACCCTATTAACATAATACACAAAAACAAACCACACTAAAACCAAACCACCCAAAATCCAAAAATACAAAACACTCTTCAAACATAATATTACATATTAATATAACACAACCCCCATACAAAACTCCAACTAAAAAATAAAATATCTCAATTCTAATCTTCTATAAATATACCAACAATACCTAACATCTCTATCTCATAACTTAATAACCCCATCTCAATTAATAACCTCTCAACCTAACATAACATCTCTTAAACTAATCTTCACAATATATTTCCTTACACCATACAACAATTCACAACATCAAACAATTAAAAAAAAATTAAACAACAATACAAAATTAAACAATACCAACATACAAAACTAACACATCAAACTTACAAAATTAAAAAAAATAAAACAAATAAACAACAATTATAAAAAAATACAACAATTAAATTAAACATAACAACTTCAATTACAAAATAAAAAATCAAATTAAAAATACACAACATCAATTAAAAATAAACAATACATAAAAATAAACAACAACTAAAAAAAAATTAATAATAAACAAAACTAAAAAACAAACATAAAACATAAACAAATAAACACAACCTAATCATAAATCCCCTCCTACCACTACCAACCCAAATATACATATCCCACAAAATATATCCTATCTCCACCCTTCCTATCACACAAATATAACATACCCTAAACTCTCTCCCCACCTTCATCATCTCCTCATATAAAATCCAATAACTAATACCACTTCTTCAATACACCCATAAAAATTCAAACTTATCACCATACCACCCCCTCTAATCACTTCTTTAAACCCCTAACACTACCCTCTTCACTCTCACTATAACCTCTTCCTTCCATCAACACCCCCCCTCACATTCAATTTCCACATTCCCCTTCATTTTAATACTAAATCTTATTACTACTCACTTTTCTTATACTCACACCTAACAATACACTCACCAATACACAAAATACCTCCCAATTACAAACTAAAACATATACCTAATATCAAATACATTCAAAATTAAAATATCATAAACTTAACCATCTCCTTTCCTCCTCTCTTTCATTATTATTCTCTCCTATACCCCCCTCTCCCTTTAACAACCCCCTTACCTATATCACTCCTTCTCTACTACCACACCTTTTCTATTCCACTTAATCCCCTATCTCAAATAACTATTCCCACCCCTTAAATCATTAAACTATTAAACTTTTCTTCCTCCCCTATATAAAAATCAACCCCACTTTATCATTCCCACAACCCAATTTCTAATTCCTACACAAATTACACTCTCTCACACTTCTCTAATAAAACCTCACCCCTATTAAATTAAACATCCTTATATCATATCAAAAATCAACATCCCACCTACAATTCTCATACTACTATCATAAAACCTATACCCCATTCACTATTCATATCAACTCTCCCTTCTATACACCTATCTCTTCCCTCCTTCCTCTTTCTCTCTACTCTCTTCCCTCTCTTCTCTCTCTCTCCCTCTTCATCTCTCACTACTTCCCCCTCTCCTTCTCTCTCCCCTTTCTCTCTTACTCTTCCTTCTCTCTCAACACTTCCCTCTCTCTAACTCTCCTATCTCTACCACCCACTTACTTCTATCTCACTTCTACTCTACTACTCCTTATCTTCTCCCTCTTACTTCCTCACTCCTCATCCTCTCACTTCTACTTCTAATCACTCTCCTCTCACTCTACTTCCTCATTCTCCCCTTCTTCTCTCTCTCTTCCTCCTCTCATACTCTCTCCTCTCTCTTCTACTTCTCTTCTCCTTCTCATCTCTCTCTCCTACTCTATTCACTTCTACACCAACCCCACCCCCCTCCATCACCTCTAAACTCCTCCCATACACAAAAACCCATCAACAACTCAACATAATTCCACACAACTCTACCTAAACATCTCCCCTACTCCCCCACCCCATCTTAACTTTCATTATCAATATTCCATTTCTCTACTCTTTCTCACTACAAACCCCCCCCACCCCATATACCACAACCAACCCTAAAAACCAATTTAACACCAACCACAAATCCCCCACCCCTTCAAAATATCTATACCCTTAACTATAACAAACTCCACCCTCACTCTACCACACACCACTCACCAACACATACCCACACCACCCCACCCTACAACAACCCCCACCAACTACCCAATCCACACATCCACTCACACCATCACCCAACCACTCCACCACACAACACCCTCATAACTCTCCCACCTACACCTAAACCCACACTCCACCCACAACTCAACAACACCACAAACATCCACCCTACACAACCCACAACACCACCCAAACCACACCCAACCTCACAACCTAACCACAACCCCACCCACCCCACAACCACCTCCACACCATACAACCCCACAACCAACCACCACCCACCCCACACAACCCCATCACCAACCCACCCACCCCAAAACACCCACACCACCTCCAAACTCACCACCACCATAACTCCACACCCACAATACAAATCACCTCACACAACCAACAACACCCCAACACACCACCATACAACAACCCCCCCACCAACACCCACCCCATACCTCAACCCCCAACCACCCCACACCACCCCCACCAAAACCACACCCAACCCAAACCCACACCAAACACCACCCCACAACCCACCCAACACACCACCACCCACCCCAACCCCACCCCACCCACAAACACAACCACACAACAAAACCACACCCCAACCACCACCCACACCCAACACACACACCAAACCAACACACCCCACAACCACCCCAACCACACCAACCACCCCACACCACCAACCACCCACCCCCCAAACCACACCAACCCAACAACACCCACAACCACACCCACCCCACCCAACCAACCACCAAACCACAACACCCAACACACCCACCACCAACCCACACCCCACCCCACCACCCCCCACACCCAACACCCCACCAACCACACCAAACACCCACCCAACCACACACCACACCCAACCACCCAAACCACCACCACCACAACACCAACCACAACACCAACCAACCCACAACACACCCAAACAACCCCACACCCCACCCACACCAACAACCACAACACCCAACCAACCACAACAACACACCACCCAACACACACCACCCCCACAAACAACACCACCCCACCACCCAAACCACCCCACACCCCCACCAACACCCAACCACACCCCACAACCACAACACCCACCCACACACCACCACAACCCCACCAACCACAACCCAAACAACCACAACCAACCACACCACCCACCCCACCAAACCACCCACACCACCCCCCACCCACCCCACACCCACCAACCACCCCACCACACCCACAACCACCACAACCACCAACCACCCCCACCCCCACCACCCCCAACACCACCACCCCACACCCCACACCACCACCAACACCAACACCCAAACCCCACACAACCACCCCACACCCCAACCACCACACCCACACCCCAAACCCACCCCACCACACACCCACCCAACACCCCACCAAACCCACCAACAACACCACACCCCCAAACACCAAAACAAACACCAACCACAACCCACCCCACACCACACCAACACCCACCCAACCCCAACACCCACCAACACACCACCCACAACAACCCACCAACCCAACCCCCCCACCCCAACAACCCACACACACCACAACAACACCACACACCAACCACACCCCCACCACAACCACACCCACAAACACAAACACAACCCACCCCCCACACCCCCACCACACAAACCAACAAACCACAACAACACACACCCCACACCAACACACACATAACACAACCACCACCCCCAACAAACACCCCCAACACCAACACCCACAACACCCAAACAACAACACCACCACAACCCCAACAAACCACCAAAACCCCACCAACAACCAACAACCACACACACCACACCCACAAACCCCAACACCCAACACAACCCAACACCAACACCACACCAAACCCCCCAACAAACCCACAAACCACACCCAACAAACCACAACCCCACACACACAACTCCCAACACCCAACCACAAAACCAACCACCCAAACAACATCCCACCCACAACCACCAAATCCCCCCACCTCCCCCCAATCCATAACCCCCACCACCCCCCACCCAACACACCCAAACCAACCATCACAACACCACTACCAACCTAACCCCAAATACAACACAATAACATACCAACACCATAACATCCCAACCATATCAATCCTACATACCCCCCCAACTAACCACAACCCCCACCCACCCATATAACCTAACATCAACACCCCCAATCTCACCAACCAACCACACCCCACACACCCACCCACACACAACCAAATAACACAACCCATACAAACCACCCAAACAACACTACCCCCACACCAACCTTCCCCATACAATCTCACATACAACCCCACCCCATAAACACCTAAACCCCACCATACACCATCAAAACCTCCCTAATCCCAAAACTCCACAAACCAATATTTCTCTTATCATACTTCAATATTCACATACTTAAAACCTATCATATCACCCACCTCCCCATTATCAATCTCATCACCATTCTAAAAACCAAACACTTCCATCACACTATTCAAACTTAAATCCCATCAAATATTATCTCCCACACAACACACCCCCAAATCATACACTAAACATTCCTCCCCCACACAACTACCATCATAACTACACAACCCTTCACTCTCACCTTTCATTCAATAACATTCTACTCCAACCCATTTCCTAAACAAATCCAAATATACCATCCCTAAATCCTATATCTCCCTAACCATCCTAAACCTCTTAAAAAAACAATAATAATAATATATCTCTTCACATTAAACCCCAATCCCCTATTCATACAAACTTCTCATAACTCAAACCTCACTCAATCCTATAAACTAACTAACATCCTATTTACACCCCATCTACTAATCTACACTCCATTTAAAAATCACTACACATACCCCACCAAATTATTATTCATCTCTACCAATCCCTCTCATAAACCCAAAAAATCATCCATATCCCATCACATCTCATCTCCCTTCACCACATCTATACAAATCACCCTATTCTCATATACTCAACAATCCACATCCTCAA